CCAAGTGTCACAGATATTGTCTTCTTTCTTCTTATGAAACATGTTCAGAAATTCATAAAACCAAACTTTGGAAAACAATCACCCACTGTTACATAAAGAAATCACAAACAAAAATACTGCATCTGTTTGACATGGGCAACTAGGAAAAAAATAACAATTGATAATTCAAATTAGATGGGAAGTTGGTATTTGGAAAAATGAGACAGGAACTAAAAATTTAGGATTCGATGTAAGACCTAGAAGAGTTAGGATGAGGAAACAGAGTGGCAGATGTAGACTCAGCTTGCTGTCCTTTAGGAAAATGTGAGGAGAAAACTATTCCCCTGCTGAGTGTTAAAATATAGAGGAAGCAATTAGGCTGACAGGGATGGAGAGCACTGCATTCCTATGTAAGAAAACCAAACTTAAACTTATTCTTATTGTTGCAGCAAAACAAAGTATGATAGAAAGAGCTGGCAGAGCCACAGTGGACTAAAGTCATAAAATGGCCAACCGCACCCACTGTTCCTGTCTTTTCTTTGTCCTTGGGTGCCCTTCTCATTGCTCAGTTTTCCTGGGCTTTTACAGAAGCAAAAGCAAGCAATAGTTTCAAAGTCCCACAAAGTATGTTTCTACATTTTCTTAAGAGCTGAGTCACTAAGGGGAGGACTTTGTAGACATGACCTTGGGACTTCTGTGAGAAGTTTTTTTTTTTTTTCTTTGAGATAGTGTCTCACTTCTTCACCCTTTGTCAAGCGCCATGGCATCTTATCTCACAGCAACCTCAAATTCTTGGCTTCAATTGATTCGCTTGCCTTGGCCTCCCAGGTAGCTGGGACAACAGGCGCCTGCCACAATGCCCAGCTATTTTTCAGAGACAGAGTCTTGCTCTTGCTCAGGTTGGTCTTGAACTCATGAGCTCAGGCAATCCACCTGCCTTGGCCTCCCAAGTACTGGGATTACATGCTTGAACCATCATCCTGGGCAAAGCCTTCTTTTTTTAGACTTTACTTGTTCTGGGTATCCTCTTCATTATAAACTAATTTTACAGTGAAATAATAACAAAATTAGAGGGAAGGAATTTCTGGGGAAAAAAAAAGTCTTTAAGCTTCTGTACCCCAGCCTGAAGTAAGAGGTTTAGGGATAGAATCCCTCAAGGGATTGATGTGCACTCAGCTAAGGGATACAATGTAGGGGTATATGGCAGACCTGCTAGGTGAGGGGCACATCTACAACAGGGATTTGACCACACTAATAATGGAACCCAATCATTTGTACCCTCCTATTAAAGGAGGTTTATTCTGAGCCAAATTTGAGGACCAGGAACGGGAGCCACACCCAATAAACCTAAGGCAAATGGACTGGAGGTGGTGGGGTTACAGTTTGGTTTTACACATTTTAGGGAAACGAGGATTACAGGTGAGGTCATGAATCAATACTTGAAAAACATATCTTGGGTTCACCACCAAATGGTGAAAGATCCTGAAGGGGGAACTGACAGGTTGTAGCTGAGTTTAAAGATACTAAAGCTGACAGTTGAGTGAACTGGATAGGTTCTGTCTAAAAGACTAGGAGTCAGGGATAAGGAATGCCTCAGATACAGGGTAAGTTAATTGAAGACATAAGGCTGGACAGAGTCAATTGGTTGGTTGCGCACATTGAGGACACGTGGTATTGCACAGCCTTAGGCCTGTTAAGGAGTCACAAAGGACTTCTAGGAGGGGGGCAGGATGACTCAAATCTTTTCTCCTGCCTCCTGGCTAGCAACTGTTTTAGGCATCCTCTTTGTCAACAGGGGGGTCCAAACACTCAATCACTGACCTGAGAGCCTTAAGATTTTACTTTCGTTAACCATAAAAAGTAAAATAGCTGAATGAGTATTTCCATTCTTTCAATATTTTTTCTTTTTTGAGAAAGAGTCTCACTCTGTTGCCCCAGGGTAGAGTGCTGGGCACCCTAGCTCACAGCAACCTCAAACTCTTAGGCACATAAGATTTTTTTTTTAATCTCAGTCTCCTAAGCAGCTGTGACTACAATGTCCACCATAAGGCCCAACTCGTGTTTTTATCCTTAGAGGAGACGGGTTGTCACTCTTTCTCAGGATTGTCTGGAACTACTGAGCTCAAGCAATCAACTTGCCTAAGAGTGCAGGATAGTAGGAATGAACAATGACACAGGGAAAGATTCAATATATTAAACTATCATTATCAATTCTCAAAATATATATATATATATATATTTATTTATTTATTTATTTATTTTTTTTTTTTTTT